TCATGCCACTTTGGTTTGCTAATTATGATAAGTTAATTAAATTTATGAATGATGAGTGGATTTTGATTGGATGGAAGAGACAGAAGCATGTTCTAGCATTTGAATTGATCAGTATACATATATTCGGTCATACATATGCATATGTACTCGAAATCCTGTATTAAAAATCCCATTTGAATTGATCAGCATGATGCATATATAATTGATGGCCCACAATATGTTTATTGGAGAATTTATGTTAATTTATGCAATTGAAATTATGAACATTATGTTCATGCTTTAGTTCATATTGTTTATGAACATTATTGTTCATATCAGTTTCATCAGTTTTATTTATATTTATTTATCTCCAAAAGCATGATTCAATATATCTTAATTGGATTCAAATTTAATTATTTTCCTCTGCTGTTGAAATAATAATGGGTTGCATATCAGAAATTTTGTTGTTTTGGATTTATGTGAAACCTGTTATTTGCCCCGATTACAGATTCTGTTTTCGAAAGGCTTAATTGAGTGGTAAATAATTTGGCTTTGTGCATATATTCATTAGTGATTCTATCGAGCATCAATATTTGAGCATGAATTACTTGTTTGGTGGGATATTTGTACATGCTAAATAAATTGATTACATAAATTAATCAAACATAATTAAGTTTTTGGGAATGTTGAACCTCTCGAATTATTTGTTCAATTAATTGAAGTGCACTGTTTGATATATTATTTGGGGTATTATGCAACTTGGACTTTGGTAATTAGTTTGAGTTGATTAGATTCAGGCATCAATGTGATTATTTGCATGGGCCTGAATTAGTTTTTTTGTGAATTAAAGGTTAGACCTTTAAACCTATTTTTCGGTCTTAGAATTTTAAATTTTGGATTCGAATATTGGTATAAAATTTTATATATATTGAGATATATTAAATCATTGGCATGATTTTCGCATAAGGATTCAGATATGAATAATATGGATTATTTCAATATATATGGTCTTAAAAAAAAATTACATGATCTTGGATGAGATGTATATTAGTATATATGTATGTGAAATTTGGTCATAATTGAAATATTATATGTTCGTTTATAAATTATGCACTAAAAGATGTATTATATAATCTGCAAGGTTGTAGTTTCACTGACATGAATTGTTTGTCCCTAAAAGGTTAAAAGGATTTGTTATGAACAGTTTGTATTCCTGAAGTAATACATGAGAAAGATGAAATCCAACCAAATCAATACTAATGGACACAATATCTTGAGAATAGTGATGTAAAAGTAGTTCATTGAGATTGTATTAGTGCCAGAAGCACATGTGCAAAAGTATATTTTATTTTTATTTTTACATGAGATATATGATATAAAATAGTCTATTTTCTATAAGACAATATATTTCCTTGATGTAACTGTCCTTATTTGTATATGAGCATTGCTTGTTTGATATGTATCCACATTACTTGTTAAGATTTGAAAGTGGTAACACACGTAAGATATGTGTAGCAGACATTATCGTCTAGGTAAGGATTATTTTCGATGATGGATGAGAAAAATATTATATATCTTATGCAATGAAATCTCTCATACTTCACTTGTCATACTCCTGAAGAGTTATAAAATAAAAACGTCCACGTATATTATTAATTTGTCCATGCATTTGATTACGCATGATGCATATGTAGATTAATTTGATAATGTGAATTGTGTATGTTGCTTGGAATATATATGGTGAAGTTATCAAAACATGCAATTACGACATAAATTTAGTTTGGAAATGATAGTTGCATATTTGTTTCGTTGTTTTATGCATTGAGTATGGATGCGATCCAAATTTATTGAGCCTAAATCAATTTGAATATCTTGACCTTTACTCTAACTGACTAATGAACCAAATGAATGGTATGCAACTTGTATAGCTATTTTCTACTTATGTCATAAATTGCAGAACAAATATCCTATTGAATTTTATTCCGATAAATATGAGTTTCCCTGAAGGATTATATAACTAAAAGTATCACTAGTGAATTTAAATATCGACCTAAATTTGGTTATCCCTGATGGATTGGTCCTATTGACCAGTATCATAATTGCATAAGAATTATCTAAGGAGTATCTTTGAAAGATTGATCTAGTAAATAATCTCGTTGATTTTTGGATAAATTCATGATCTTTTGATTTTAGATCAGCTCTGCATATTCAATATACTCTTAATGAAGTTATGTAACCAGAATGTTACATAGATTGAATCTATACACAAGTATTCTGGAATTATTTATGTTTGCTTGTATATTTGATAAGATGCATACCACTGACTTATATTGTTGATAGCTACAATAATAAATTTATATGTCGTGCCCGAAGCACATAAATGGTTGATAGCTACAATAAAAGGCTCACAAGCAAAGTACAGTTGTAGTGCCTGAAGCATATATTGTGTTCACTTAGTAATGAATTATTATAGTTCGATGCCCAACTTATATATTTGATAATTAGCATGAGCAGTTAGATCATATTGGGAAATTATTTATGATAATTTCCCCCTAAAATGCATGGAGAATCGAACATTTCTCATCTGCAATTTATTGTTATTTTATTATGCACTATTTTTTTATCACCACCAATTCGTACCTTTATGGGCCTATATTACAAACTAGGTATCCTGTGATTTTTATACTCCGTCGAATTTTTAATACCTAGAGGCCATTAGAGGGGATCAATTTATTACTTGGTACGTGTTTTGCATAATATATGAAGATGTTTTCACGGCATTAGGGGGAGATATAAGCATAAATTTATTAATGTCGTGAAGTTTATTAATGCCGTGAAATATGCGAAATATTAATGTTTTCATTATTGGAGACCACGCAATAAAAATTGAACTTGAAGTTCATATTATATTTCTGCCAAGCGAAATATATAGTAATAATGGAGTGACCAATTTGTAAATATATAGATGTACCACAAAGTAAGCAAATTCCCTAGGGAATGATTGACTCGCAGAAAATGTATATTTAAGAATTAACACTCCATTATAAGAAGCTCCTGAAGAGTTGATCCAGTACATCTTGCACGTGCATCAAACTATTATAGTACTGGAAATACGGAACGACCAAAATTAGAAGTTATGGGAAATGATTATAAATATGGCTAGTAAATATGAAGTTGCATATATGGTTGAGAGAAAAATATAAATTGAATCAGTTGTCGACAACATACTTGCCTATGTGATTTCTTTACTATCTCAAATAATGATCCGAATCAAAATAATAAAAGTGCTAGAAGCGCTTAGATTGATTGAGATAGAAAGAAAAACTAAGGCAGAGCTTTCACTCGCTACACGATATATCCCAGGAGGATAACATATCCCAGAAGGATAATGAATATTTATATGAAATATGTGATGTGGTGGTATGATGTAAAATATAGCGAGATTATGCTCATGGGTTTGTGTAGAGACCCAAATATTTATTTAGATAAGTTCTCTCATTATCAATGATTCCGCAAGTTAATATTTATGGCAGCATTATGACCATGACTATTGAGTCATATGTGAAAGTCCTAGATGGACTCGAGTACCCGAGATGAACGATAATTAAATAATAAATAGCTTATTTATTTGAAGTTGTTGGTAAGATGTGGTGCAACCAACTAAATTCTTCCCTGAAGAAGTAAAGTAAGAAATTCAAGGTAGAACCTTGCGTATAATGATAATATACAAAATTATCATCTCGGTCAAAAAGATTATATGGTGAACACTATGTAAAAGATTAAAATAAGTCCACAAACGACATGAAGTTTATTTATTAAGCAATTGTGCTAAACTTTGATGTCGCAAACTGCATCAGGCCTGATACTGCATTTGTGATGAATTTGCTAGCAAGATTTACTATATTTCTCCTTAAAGAGATATCGTGATAAATATTGAAAATATCCCTTTATTATTCATGTATGCTGAGCTATCTTTGGACTTTATATATGATATTGGTGGATAAGGACATCAATTGAATAATTGATCTCCGAAGTCTCTTAAATGGTATTAACTCTTTACCATTGGTTATTGAAATTTTCCTATATTTATCTTGAAGATAACTTAGTTTGTTTTACACAAATAAATTATAGAAATACATTTGATGACATTTTTTGAATCCATATCAATTCCGGAAGAGCAACAAATGACGATTTTATGTAGACTCTTACCTTGAGGGGGAGCAACATACAGTTATAAATGTAACTAAAAAGGTTTTTCCTTCAAGGGAGCGATAAATAAATCTCAAAGATCGAGTCCAGAAGGTTAATTATAATCCTGAAAATTATGCCCTATTGGCCGGTGTTGTACTCTTTTTCCATTGGATTTTACTTAGTGAGGTTTTTAACGAGGCAACATGTATAACACATAAATCTGCATATATTATGTGCTCTTTTCCTCGATTGTTTTTTCCTACATGGTTTTGCAGTGAAGTTTTTAACGAGGCATATACATGATGCGGGTAATATCCAAAGGGAAGTGTTGTAAATATTAATTGGTGGACATTACCTAGATATAGGATTTGCAAGTATGGGTCAGTAGCCCATTAAGTCTTTACTCATGTACATTGTATTCCCTTATATATAAAGTTCAAGTGAATGAATAAGATGATGGTTTTAACCCGATATCTATCTTACACATATTAAGAATCTGTATTACAATACCCCACAAACTTTTTCATCACATCTCATCCATTCTTCATCCCCTTTCTCTATAAAAAAATTGAAAATGGAACCATAAACCCTAACCCCACTTCTCCTCACCACACATTCCAAAATCCAAATCTTTTCAGCAGAGATTGTTCTGTTCGCTATCCAAAGTATCATCATCGTCTTCCCAGTTTTATGTGCAGCATTTCAAACCACACCTTTTCCCACAACGTTTTTCTTCAATAACTCGTGACAATAACAACATTCGAATGCCGTAAGTAATCCCATATCCAATCCTCTTCTCTATCTATATATAATCTGCACCCACCACAGCCATGGCGGTAGCCTACCCGCAATTTACAGCCACCGATACCCACGCGCCGCCGCTGCCGATGGCCCCCCTCCTCACGCAGGACGACCTGAAGAGAATCGCCGCCTACAAGGCCGTCGAGCACGTGAAGTCCGGGATGGTCGTCGGGCTCGGCACGGGCTCCACGGCCCGACACGCCGTGGACCGCATCGCCGACCTCCTGAAGCAGGGGAAGCTCAGGGACGTCGTCGGCGTGGCCACCTCCACGAAGACGCGCGACCAGGCCGCCTCCCTCGGCATCCCGCTGTCAGATCTGGACACCCACCCGGCCCTAGATCTGGCGATCGACGGCGCCGATGAGGTCGACCCGGATCTGAACCTGGTGAAGGGCCGTGGCGGGTCCCTGCTCAGAGAGAAAATGATAGAATCGGTGAGCAAAAAATTCATCGTCATCGTGGATGAATCCAAACTAGTGAGCCACATCGGTGGGAGCCGGCTCGCCATGCCGGTGGAGGTAATTCCCTTCTGCTGGGAGCATTCCCTGAGAAGGTTGGTGGGTCTGTTCGCCGATAGGGGCTGTTTTGGGGAGCTGAGAAGGAGTTGCGGGGAGGTTGGGCAGATCTACGTGACGGACAACGGTAACTACATAATCGACCTGTATTTCGAGAGGGAAATTGGGGATTTGAAGGAGGCCGGCGACCGAATTCTTAGGCTTCCGGGGATTGTGGAGCACGGGATGTTTGTCGGGATGGCGACGTCGGTGATTGTGGCCGGCGTTAACGGCGTGACGGTGAAGACGAAGGTGGTTGGGGGTGGATTGGAGGTTGATTGTTTTAGTTATGGGGATTTGAGGAATGGGTTTTGAGGGTTGGTGTAGGGATTTCCAAATTTGGGAATTCAAAATTTTGGGTATTTCTAGTTATTTTTCTTGTCTTTAATTTGGTTATTTAATTTAATATGGGAGGATTTTTAAGTTGTCTCCTCTTTAATTTGTGTCTTTTTGGTTTGGGTCGATCTAGAAAGAGAGTTCACTCAGTTCTTCGTCTATGACTCGGGCTACAACTCAACGTATGATAATCAGATAATGTGTACAATTTGGCATGGGACCGGTCCGGTTCTTATTATATTTTTCAAGAACTGGAACGCTACAAAAAAAAAATGGGTTATGTTAACACGTAAATTATTGCAGGAACCGAAAAAGAATCGAATCGGTTCATATCGGCTCGATTTTTCCGGTTCTTCGGGTTGGATAATAAAAATAATCGACAATAACTTGTTTTGAGTTTAGAACTGGTCAAAAAATTGCAACTCACGGATCAAAAATATCATGAAAAATCGAGAATCAAAATGCAAAAATGAGGAACCGAATATGACATACAAGAATCGGAACGATTCATACATATAAACATATAAAACATGCATATTTCACATATATAGTTGATTCCTCGGTTAATACACATACACTTAGAAAGGAACAAGGAAGCAAAACCGAAAAATACAAAAAATAATTGAAAACCAACTTTTTTTTAAATAACCGGACCGCTCCGGTTATTTTTGGTTCGATCTGATTCGGTTCTCTGAAGTATAAAATTCCACCCCTATGCAAGATGAAACCGAAAGTATATGGTTTTCATTCTCTCTTTAGGTTTGTTCGTGGTTGAACTTTGAAGCCGTTCTTTATCAAAAAAATTACAGCATTGCATTTATTTTAAATTTCTAGTTTATTCAAATATTCCCTCTTTGTTAAAAAAAGATACAAATCAAACATATTTAATGCAATTCGTGATGTTCTTTTTTTTTTCTAAATTAGAATATGATTTAATAATTTATATACAGTGTTAACATTTGCTGTCCACAAATGTTTTCTTTGCATAGCTAAATCTCACCTCAACTTCTACTTCAGCTCCATTTCATTTTTCCTTCTTTGATATATACATATTCTTTTCTAGGTAATAGAAATTTACAGTGGGTTTTAACATTTGATAAAAAAAATAAAAAAAAAATGATGGCATTGAAACCGAAAGACCGAATAAAATCAAAAATCGAACAATATGATCGTCTCTCCATTTTAGTGCACGGTAATAACACGGGGCTGATGCAGAGGCATCTCACCATCTTCTTCATCAGGCACAGAGGTCAATTCATTAGCCTGTTGGTCACGTTTTTCGATTTATATTACCAATGCTGCTACAAATTAAGATCACTCGAAAAAGTTTGTAAAAATAAATAAAACGGATGAATAGATAAAAACTCTGTACATAGCTATTTTTGCTTTTACCTGTCGTCTTCGGCGTAGGATGTAAGCGACTACTTTCAGTATTATGCAAATCGGGACAATAATCCCAGCTATCCGTAGCATTAATAGCTGTTGTAAGAAAAAGTACATGTTATAAGAAAGAAGAATTTTACATTCTGTCTTTATTATTTTGTATGATATATATATATATATATATATCTTACCGTGATAAGTGGGAACGAGTGAATCCCTCCTCGACTTATTACGCCCGGAAGACTATGCCGCAGAATTAAGAGAATCATAAACTGCAGAAAATAAAAGGGAAAAAAAATTGAATAAAGAACTCACAAACTGCAAAAATCTTCATAAAGCCTATTTGTTTGATACAAACTAAATACATTTTCTTCTGCAGACCTATTGTAATCAATCCAATTATTATTATTATGATTGTTTTTCTATATCAGTATATTCCTTTGCCTTCACCTTCATCATTTTATAACCTAAGTTGAAATCACATTTCGACTTATACAAATATCAAAGAGAAAAAAAGAGACTCACTATTATGGCAACCGCGCAGCAGTAAATTATTCTTCGTGATGTAGAAAACTCATATTCATCATAATCATCGTCCAATAAACTGTGATTGGTCGAGACCATTGCAATTATGCGAGGATTATTCAAATCTCTTGCAGAAATTTGCCAATTTCCCCTGAAAATACATACAAACATGAAGAACTTCTAAAATAATACACAAGTTTATTGGATATCCTTTCATTTTTTATTTTTTAAAAAAGGGGACTACCTTATATTCATGGGAAGTCCACCGAACCGAAATATTGGGGGTGGAGCTGTATATCCTGGCTTGAATTGCTGCAATTTTGCGTGTGAACAAACGAAAATCAAAATACGCAGAGAACATATATATAAACTATTTATGAAAACTTGTATCATTAATGTGAAATAACATATTTTCTAAATAAAAAATCCATGAAAACAGAAAAAAGGCCACCTGATGGCATATCTCACAAATGGTATCACCCTTCTCATTGCACCATCTTTGTACACATTTTCGGTGAGCGTACTGGAAATAAAGCAAAGGAGGAAGGAGAATTAGCAAAATATGGCATTATAATGTTTCGAAATATTTTTTCATACGAGCATCTTTGTCAGCTAATAATTCGACTCTTGTCAAAGCACAAGTACAAATAAGGTTGCGTGAGTTCTTGAGTTGAAAATTCGACGTGTATCATATAATTGGTTCTCTCAATATTTCAAACAGAAACTACATACTGCAGCATCAAAGAGGTGAAGCAGAAAGCTTAATTCATGTATTATAGCCAATATCTTGGCAATTAACTCAATTCCAATTGGTGGTAAAAACAAAGCCTTGAACGGAACCGAACCCCTAACACGACAAATCACAAACCTGAAAAAGACAAATAAGCACAGATCTTTGTTCCTTAAACATCAGAAAACTGAAGATCAAAAGATGCCTTTTCTTAACACAGGACAAATAAATTAAAAAAAAATAAATAAATTGAACCTTTAAGCTCCCACAACAAGAACAAGGAGCCTCCATATTTGAATTGAAATCTTCATCCTGGCATATCCTGCACTCAACCAATTTCCTTGGAGATAAACTACTAGCTTCATAATTATCGTGTACAGAACAATCTATGATCGTTTCATCATAGTGATCGTTTAATAAGTTTCGACTCTCGATTGTGGCCCTTAATGTCGATTCAGTCAGCAAACGATCGACTAGCAAAACAAAGTGATCCCCCATTTTGCTCTCCTTAAAAGGAGGATAATCTTATACAATTGTTATCTTTTTCCTGTCACAAAACAAAGAGCTTTCAGGGCAATATTAGAACAAACACAATAACAGAAACTGCAAGAATGGTACAGCAATTTAACAGAAAAAGTAGTCATGGCAAATGGGTTACAATTTATTGACACACACACACACACACACACACACAACCATATGGGGACAAAAGAAATTCTAATGGGAACTTAAAAACTTGATAAAGACTTGATTTTTCACGAAGTGGGGGGAAAGACAGAAACTTTATACCCTTTGCAGCCTAAAAACAACACTTTGTTCTCATCTATAGACGTGGCCAAAGCCCGGAACGGCGGGTCTGAAATCCTAGGCCCGTAACGGGTCCTGCCCGACCCGACGGGTAAAAAATTATTACAACACAACCCGTAACCGCCCCTTAAGGGGTTATGAGCCGGTTCAAAAACTGGCTAAGGCGGGCCGGTTCTGGGCGGGTTCACGGGTCGAGCCAACCCGTGGCCATGTCTACTAGTCATCTAATTTCAGGGCAAAAACATAAGGAAGCCATTAATAAAGACACAAACAAAAGGAGGATAGAAAGGCAAGAGGAACAAAGAGAACTACACATAGCAACAATAAAGTTCAATTAATTTTCTTCAAGACCCCCCCCAAAA